CTCTCCTTATTAGCTAGGCTCTACAAGAGTTTACACATTAAACGCCATGTGGGTAAAATTTTTACAGATGATTGTGTGACTTCCCGTTCCCGTGAAGGCAGCAGGGAGCTGCACCACAAGTAGCTGACGGAGAAAAAAATACACCGTCTCATCAGTGGCAGTGGACTAAACTGGCAGGTTTTAATGTTGCAGACCACAGTTTTTTAGCAAGCAGTTTAAACTCGTATTGTTGTGAATCTTTGGTTTAAACTCGCCTTAGAATTTCCAACTAACCAACACCCCCCAAAAGCAGCTCAGCCCCCCTTTCCAAAATATTGCTTCCCGCCTCCCATGGTCCTTGGACCGCCCCCGTTGAGAAACACTAACCTAGAGGGTGGCATTTAAGGAGCCCAAAACGGAAGGGCTCAAACATTTTCAAGCATCATTGTCCTCTGTATATTTCACAGCCGGTTACATTTTGATAGGCCTATTTAAAAATTTGGACTTGACTATGACAGTAGTGGTATAGAAAAAAATCAGGGGTCATCTTAGTCATCCAATTTCAATATCATGACTCATGGCCAGAAACTGTTGATATATCTTGCAATATGCTCGCTAAAATCCTAAACTGAGGAGTAGAAAAATGTCTTATTTTTACAACACACACACTCAAGTTAACCAGAAACACACACACATGCAATACATACAAAGAGTTACCAATGTGACGGAGTTACATGCAGGTGGCAATTTATTCATCCACTGACCGATACACAGCCTCAGTGCTCAGTGCACACACACTGCTGTTCTTCTCACTGACTGGACTAGTACATTATTCATTTAAAGGCGCAATCTGTTGTGTAAAAAAATAAAACAGTATTCGAACAAGCTGACAGTTTCTTCAATACACAGATTAATACAAGACAATTAATGTTTTCTGCTGATAAAGATTTTTTTGCATTAGTATGTTTTGATATCAGGTTAGTCGTCATCAGACTTAATCAACTCTCCAGTCTGTGTGTTCCAGTAAACTTTGGATCTAATGTTAGAATTACAACAATGTGAACACTGACTACTAGTATCAGACAGGAATTAGGTAATTGATTTCTGTCTCCAAGAGCCTGACACACTAAACTGACCATCAGCTGTTGGGTTCCAACAGTGTGTCAAGGCCCTTAGGAAAACCTTCACCTGACGTACCTGCCACTTGGTCCCCAATATTGATACCTTTAACTAATTGCCGGCCTTTAGTAAATGCCAGGTAAAGCCCTCTGAGGGGGCCTAAAAGAACTGTGCTTTAAGGGGTCACAGAGTGGGGAGGATGACTGTTGTACTGTAGAGGTCATCCTGTGCTATGTGTATTATTCAGAATTTATGAAGATAGCAGGTAAACAATCGATTTGTATAGTGTTTGTAAAATGAAAAACATCAAAAACTTGTGCCAAGACTTAACTGAATTGACTGAATAAACAGATTAAAACATCTTCCCTTACATATCCCCAAAAAAAGCACTTTGGTGAAGAAAAATAAAAGTGCTTCATTCGTTGTACATAGATCACATTTAGTTCTTTACCAACTCCTACAGCCTACACAAACACACGCATGAATAAAAAAAAAATGGCATTCTCTGAAAAGATCAGAGAACATAATACACTTGAAACAAAGTAGAAAACAAATACAGATTGTTCAGTTGGCAGAATTAGCAGCTTTTTAACAGGATTCCCTTTAATATTGCAGTTTTATACTCAAAGATGCTAAACACTACAACCTGTATAAAAGTATTGCTCCAGTGTTGACAAACGCTAACCCTGACGTTCCAGATTGCTATCTCTTATGATGTTGATGTTGTTCCACATTCTGCTTTTAAAAGGCTAAATATGAAGGCTATGCCATTTTTGTACATGTTGAAAACAATAGAAGGAACCCAACACTTTAGAAGCTCCAACTAACTTTCATGACAACTGAGGAAGAAGCGAGATTAGTACTACTTTCAGGGACACAGCTCAACAGCATGCTCAATTTCAACAAAGTTAGGCGTGTTAGACATTGACCATCGTATACTGCACCCACAACTTAGTTCATGAACTGGCACAAATAATACCCACTATTCTTACTGTATCATCTGTATAATAATACCCACATCAGTTTCTTAAATGATACCCTGTGGAGTTTCTGTGGTTCTTCTGGTTTACAATCCAAAACACAACTTAAGGTCTAAAATACATTTAATACATCATCTTAGTCATGAAAAAAGCTTTAAACTGTATTGTTTACCTCCATATTATGGCTTACAGCAGTTTCTTTTTTGCCTTTGCTGGCTCACTGCTAGAATTCCTGGCACATTACCGCTACAAACTGTCAATCAGGGCGGTAGTGAGAAACATCCGGTGGAAATATTTATCACACTGTCTGCATGCTCACGTATAATACGACAAACAGGAACCTGCTGAACATCACTGTTCCAGAGCACTACTAGTGCTCAAAGAACTCCACAGAGTACCTTTAATGGAGAGACGCAGATCTGGAAAATGAAGCTAACTTTCATCAACACTGGATGAAAATCTTCATTGTTCATTCTGGGAAATATGTTGGTTTGCCATCAAAGCCTCAAAGGAGATCAGTGTCATTTTATGTGCCCAAAAGAGTCACATGATTTGATTGGTCTGACCACTTTTTATCCTGCTCAGCATAAACTGGAAGCAGGGGCAAGCTGCTAGTCCAGCTCTGTCAAAAGTACAAATCTGCAGCTTTCCTGAGCTCAGGTTCTCTCTCTCAAGTAGCAAGCTACTTACCAGGACACGTACAGCTCACCAGGGTGATATTTACACACAAAGTCTGAATTTACATGTGACATGTTTGTGTGAGAACTAGCAAGTAGCTTCTGTTCTTTCTCACAAACCAAAGCAAAGGCTTTCGAGGCGCTCTCTTCATAGATTTTGCTGTCAGAAATGTACATCTGACAAACGAAATCCGTGTCCAAGGATGTTGCAAGATTGCTTCTTCACGTCTTGAAGTGTATTAAAGAGGTGGTATTATGCTCATTTTCAGGTTCAAAATCTTATTTAGGGGTTGTACCAGAACAGGTTTACATGGTTTCATTATCATAAAACACCATATTTTTCTCATACTGCACATTGCTGCAGCTCCTCTTTTCACCCTGTGTGTTGTACGCTCCACTCTTGAGCTACAGAGTGATGCATCTTACTTGTACAGAATCTTTGTTGGGAGTTGCACATGCGCAGTTCCCAGGTAAGGACTACTAGCCAATCAGAAGCAGAGAAGGGCGGGTCGTAAGAAACAAGGTAGTGTGATCCAAATCAAAGCCGCTTCAGACTGCGACTGTAACCTAGCAGATGGTATAAGTTACTCACAAGTCCACAACCACACAACATCATTGTTCCACATCTTAACATCAGGACTAAACGTTGAACTGTTGCTGGTGTTCTGACGATCTATGCTGCATTACCGAAAAATGCTACCATAGCGCAAATCGATAGACTCGCCTCCGTTTTTCAGTGCAGGTAGTACCCAGAGATAGTACGTAGCTGGCAGCCACTCGCGGAGCTCCTCAACTCCAAAAATATTCAAGCACATTTTTGTTCCGCCATCACTTCTCGTAAAACTGTCAATATTCTAAATCTACACAGCTGATTTCTCACCTCAAAACTTCTCAGAAGTGGATTTAGTGATGAAATTCCATATGAAAACTGTAAAATATAAAACTTTCTGTTGCTGGCCTCTGTCTGGTGCAGCAATGATGATGCAGTGAATAGTGAATATTCTCTCTGACCAATCAGCAGTCTGTTGTGTTTTCACGTCACATTTTAGTATCCCTCAGCTCACTTGGAACCTCGACGGAGGTGATACGAAAAAAAGTACCTGGAAGCAGGTACAGGTACAACATTTCTACAATGGAAAACCAAACAAAGGCGAGTCGAGCCTTTTGAGGGCGTGCCTGACCCCGCTAGCCGCTTGGCAAGCTTTATGACGCGTTTCCATTGTGACGTCACAAGTAAAGGAAGTGAAGGGCTGGACTACAAACGAGCTGTTTTCAAGCGGTTCAGAGCAGAGCTTTCTGTGGGAGATGGGAACTCCCTTTGGGCTGGACTTTGGGCTTTTTCACTTTGCAAACCTGTTACATGTACAAAAAAAGAGATATAACTCAATAAAGGAGAGGGGAAAAGCCAAAAAGCATAACACCACCTCTTTAAATTAATTAAAAAGATTGAAGGTGAATGCAAACTATAATTTTTACTGCTGACATATAGAGACTATGTTATTGACCACATGCATGAGAATAACATTAAATACAACAAGTGTGTACAGGTGTACAATTTTCATTGGGACGCATTTTTTTTACATTGATGGTAAGTGGACTGCACTTAGGTAGGTAGGTAGATTTTTGTCACCATACAAAAGGTTATAGAGTGAAATTGAGTTTTGTAATTCCCTTCTGCTACGTAGCAGACAATATACAGTAATATAAAAGCAATTATAAAAATGGTAAACAGAAATAAACTATCATCAGTGGAGCAGTGCTGAGGATGAATTAGAATCTAAGAGTCTGATAGCTTGGGGGGGAAGAAGCTGCTCTGCAGTCTGGTGGTGTGGCAGCAGAAACTTCTACATCTCTTCCCAGAATGCAGCAGGGTGAACAGGCTGTGGCTGGATGGGTACTGTCCTTTAGTATCCTTTGGGCTCTGCAGGCACCTCACAGATATCACTAATGCTCGGGAGATGGGTACCAATGATCTTCTGAGCAGTTGTAATTGTAGCGGCTTTCTAGTCTTTCGACCTTTCACCCATTCTCACACACACAAGCAGAGACTTGCAAGGTGTCAGCAGAAACTAATCCCATTCACACTCATCAGGATCTATGTGGGGTTCAGTATCTTGCATGGGGACACTTAGACATGCAGACTAGAGGAGCCGGGGATCAAACCACCGACCTTCTGATTAGTGAACGACCCACTCCATTCTCCTCAGCTTGGCTAAGGCTGCTGTGGTAAGGACTATCGGGGCACTCCTTGATGTACATTTTTAATGTGCAAAATGTTTTTACACAAATATTTTGCATCTGAATTTTGGTTTGGACCCAGCGTGGTGTGTTAAGGAGGGAACTACACACTGTACATTTTCCCTTGCTTCCAGTCACGGTGCTAAGCTGGGTTTAACACGACCCAGACCACTATCTGCTGTGGACACAGTGGAGATGAAACTTGTACTGATCCTCTAACCTGACTACGAGCAAGAAGGCAAAAGAGGATATTTCCAAATAAATGTCACCGTGTCCCTTTAAGGCCACCATCCACTACCTGGGTGTTGTGACCAGCTCAGTTTTAGTTGTTGGCAGTACCATACAGCTTTGACGCATTGACCACGCCTGCTGGACAAAGCTAGTTCTGTCATACCCAAGTTTAAAATCACTGCAGGTGGACACTTTCCTTTAGTGAGACAAAGTTTCCCTTACAACTATACCACAAAGACAACAACATTGAAAAATATTATGCAACTGAATGTACAAGAAAGGGACTGACACTCTTCACTGTGATCGGCTGGTCAGACCAACATTAGGAGGGACTGACTGAGATGAGGCACTGTGACACCGTCTGATTCCCAACAATGTTCACAGACTATGACACTTGTTCAGAGGTTTGGTGACATTATTACTCCCCAAAGGTAGGCAGGTGAACTTCAGCTGGGAGTGATCGGCAGGTTCACAACGATGTCAGATCCTGGACCTCCAACAGCATGGCATCCTGCTCTGTCCTCAGCTGGTCACGGACCTGGAGGCGACCCACCAGCTCTGAGCTCAGGTCTGACATGGACAGATGAAAAATAAAAGTTCAATATACAATATACAAAAAAAAAAAAAAAAAAAAATCAAGAGCAGCACTTCAGAGATGGGTGCATTGGAGACTTGTTGTGTCTAAGGATTAGGGTTGCAGTTAAGAATGCAGCTAGAAGAAGTGGAATTACTGTGTGCAGGTTGCTACCTTGGATGGCTTGGCTGAGAGAAGTACAAAGAGCATTCAGGTCCTTCATACTGAAGTTTTGTAAATCACTGCGCTCCAAATGTCTTCTCTGGACTACAGGATCACTACGAGCTCCAGTCTAAGAAGAGAGGACAGGAGTAGAGGAGAGATGGGGTCAGCTGTGATAAACTGGGGGAAAGGCTACATCACTCCAACAGGATGGGATGTTTAGCTCTCACCAGTGTTCCATGATCTGTTCTCAGTCTGTCTCGTAGATTTCTCAGAGTGTTCCTAATGCCTCTGGATTTTGGCTTCGTTGGCTTGGCAGGAGGCTGAGGACTCTTATGGACCTGAACAGTCCCTCTCTTCATCAGCAGGGATGGACACAAGTGTGGGAAGAACATGGAGAAGACACATGAAATAACAAGAGGAGGGGGTAGCTCTGTTCATATGTCTTATTCTTCTTTACTGACTGCTACTACAAGCATCCACTCTCAGCTCATCTCATCTGAACCGCTGTATTATACTAACAGGAACTTGGGTTAGGGGAGTTACCCGTGTGTTGCTACTTTCCCTCTTGCTGGTCTTTCCTTCTTCCTCCTCCTCCTCCTCCTTCTCTTCCTCACTTTCACTGTTGTTGATGAAGCAGAGCTGAAGATTCATCTGTGTCTGCAGGCTGGAGGACACACAACAGTCAAACAGATGGTGGATTTATACTGACGTCTGACTGACTAGTGTGTGTGGTGAGAAAATGACATTCACAGCTATTCAGTTGCCTTATAAGTTTTACAGTCTATCAAACCATACGAATATTGAAAAAAACATTTATTTAAATATTCAGAATCAGTTATTTTTTACACAATAATACCCCTGAAAAACAATATATCAGGATTGCATAGGTCCCTCCTGTCCCCAAAAATAATGTATTAAGCAGTATGAAAGTAACACGAGCAATTGTCTGACCAATGAGAATGTGATTGAACAAGAGTATATCAACTATTAACCAAAGGACCAGAAGGTGTGAGCCCTACACTGTGCATACAGACTATATACAGTATGTCACAAAAGTCAGTACACCCCTCACATTTTTGTAAATATTTGATTTATATCTTTTCATGTGACAACACTGAAGAAATGACACTTTGCTACAATGTAAAGTAGTGAGTGGACAGCTTGTAACAGTGTAAATTTGCTGTCCCCTCAAAATAACACATCCCAGAGCCATTAACATCTAAATCGCTGGCAACAAAAGTGAGTACACCCCTAAGTGAAAATGTCCAAATTGGGCCCAAAGTGTCAATATTTTGTGTGGCCACCATTATTTTCCAGCACTGCCTTAACCTTCTTGGGCCTGGAGTTCACCAGGACTTTACATGTTGCCACTGGAGTCCTCTCCTCCACCTTCCGTTCGAGGACGCCCCAAGGATTCTCAATAGGTAACTTTTACCCTCAGCTTCTTTAGCAAGGCAGGGGTCATCTTGGAGGTGTGTTTGGGGTCGTTATCCTGTTGGAATACTGCCCTGTGGCCCAGTCTCTGAAGGGAGGGGATCATGCTCTGCTTCAGTATGTCACAGTACATGTTGGCATTCATGGTTCCCTCAATGAACTGTAGCTCACCAGTCCTGTTGAACTGTTGTATGGTCTTGGCCACAGTGCTGCAGCTCAGTTTCAGGGTCTTGGCAATCTTCTACAGCCTAGGCCATCTTTATGTAGAGCAACCATTCTTTTTTCAGATCCTCAGAGAGTTCTTTACCATGATGTGTGTTATTTTGAGGGGACAGCAAATTTACACTTATATACATTATACAAGCTGTACACTCACTACTTTACACTGTAGCAAAGTGTCATTTCTTCAGTGTTGTTACATGAAAAGATATAATCAAATATTTACAAAAATGTGAGGAGTGTACTCACTTTTGTGACATACTGTATTTGTTTGAGGTAGAGCTCATTTAAACTGGGCTATTTTCTATATAGCTGGATAGTTTGATCTATAACAATTTGTTAAATTTTACATACGGTTTTATGTTTTGTGTGCAAATCACTAATCTGCAAAATAACTAGTAGCTGTCAGGTAGATGCCAGATAAACGTGGAGCAAGAATACTTCCTTCTGAAATGTAGTGCTGTACCTCTTGGGTAAAACTCTAAAGAAGAATCGCCAACTAAGCATTGCATTCCACCCATAAACGATATCCATCCAACATATTGTGGGGCTTTATGCAAACTGCAACTTGTAGGGACTGCAAGCAATCTGAAACAACATGACTATTAATACACTGTTAGACCTGTTGTGGAGCTACCATTCAAATCTAGATTTAGATTGGGCTTTCCTTGGAATTCTTCCTCTAATACACGGACAAAACCTGTACAATCACATTTGAGTGATTAGTAAACCCTCATTAGTAAAGGCAGTCTCCTAAGAAGTGAGAGGCGTGTGTGTGTACCGGGAGGTGAGTGCCAGAACATGGCTGTTGTAGGAGTCGTCTCCATCCTCCCAGCTCTCTGCTCTCCGCCCTCTGTCCTCTGTCCAGCTCACTGGACCTCTGCCTCTCTCCAGAGAAACTCCACTCTGAAAACCACACCAGACATATGTTACACAGACAATACAAAAACATAGCACATTGGGACAGCAATGTAAATGTATTCTTTTCATCGGTGTACTTTTATAGCTTCATGCTAAGGAAACAGTGGGTAGGTTAAATAATGAACATTGGCACTGCAAGTGTGGCTTCTCTGCTTGGTTTTGTCAACTAGCATCTCATTAATATGGAGGTCCTGAGCGCTCAACACACTGCAACTTAAGACACATTACACATACTATTTAACACCTCTCAGACTGAACATCAGTAGAGACAAAGTATTATAAGCTTCGTACAAGTCGATCTTATGGCAGGGCTGGCGGTTGTTCCGTTTAGGATAGCTTTCTTTTAAAATGACATTTTCTTTTTTACAGAAAGGAAGGACCTGAATCTGTAGTGACCAGTCATTATTACACTTTGTAACTGTTTTTTGAAAAGTGCTCTATAAAATAAAGATTATTATTATTATTATTATTATTAAATATCTGTACTCGACTGCAGCTTCCACTCTAATTGGGATGTGATGGTGAACCACGTTCACAACATCCATGAACACAGCACGCTGGAACCAGTTACAAAATGCCTTGTATGGTTTGTGGTTAAAAATGATTAGTGGTCCAGTCTTCAGTGGTACTGGTTGGTGCCTGGTTTAATTTGATTTCAGTGCCTCCAGAAATAAAATATTGTGGTGGTAAAGTTCCCAGATTGTTTTTCATAAAGGAAATGAAACACGCCAACATTAGTGAAGTAAATTACAGGTGATAATGTAAAGTAAAACTAGTAATTCTGACACATGCTTACTTCACTTCACAAGATTCATCTTCAGAAGATGCCCAGCAGTGCAATCAGCTCAGAGCCGCAGAAAACAGTGGGACCCTGGTACACCCATGTACTGTCCGGATAAGTCTGGTCAGAATAGTGTTGTCATGTTACCAAATTCAAGACTTTGATATGATACCAGCCTAAATATCTTCATATAGATACTGAAACAATACCATGGCAAAAATCTGAAACATGAGGAAAAGTAATGGAATAATGGATGACAGAACTTAATTTTTTATTTTTTTATTTCATTAAATAAAAAAACTTCTACTCTAAATTGTTTGTAAACTACTTTACAACAGAGCCCGTTATTAAGTGTCTTATGAAGTGTCATTTTTAAATCTAATTTGACTAAATAGAAACACTCAGTCCATGGGGCCTCATTTACAAACGGTGCATACATACAAAACAGGGCTGGAAACACGCAAAGGTTGTGATCTATTAAAAAAAAACCAAAAAAAAACAAACAAAAAAAACTTGATGGGGGAATGTGCGGTCCGCCATGCAAACTCTGAGCCATGCATACGCACAGTTGTCACTCCAGAGAACTCCTCTCCACTGCTCTAGAAGTGTCCAGTGGCAGCGTAAATGTAAATGCTGAGAAAAACTCTTGTTGACACAAGCCCTTAAGCCTAGTTCACACTACATGATTTTAAGGCTGATTTGCCAGTCGGTGTGCTCGGCAACAGTCAGACTGTGATCAGGGGTAAATCAGCGATCGATCGGCAGTCGCCAGTCATTATGTTTGAACTACGTAGGTTTCGCATATTTCATGATTTTGCAACATAAAGGCAAAAATGTGCATGGCCTATATCACAAGATGCAGCTCAATTCAGGGAATGTGTATTGGGTTTTTGAATGTTTGATGTACTGTAAATGTAAATGCTCTGTATTTGTATAGCGCCTTTCAAGTCTTTTCGACCACTCAAAGCGCTTTTACACTACATCTGCATTCAGTCACACACATTCATACACTGAGCCTAAGTGCTCAAACGGAAACTAACATTGACACTCATTCATACACTGGCACCTGGGGTCCTGCCTGGTGTGATGTCTTGTACTGAGTGCCTGTTCTTGTGCTGTCCTTCAGTCCAGCCTTTTCCAGCCACTGGTAGGATTTCTTGATATCAGCCACTTCTTCTATTTGTCTGTGGTACATGCCGTGCAGCGGCTTGTCTCTCCATGAAGGTTCTTCGTCTTCCTTGTCCTCACCCTCTGATTTCTGCTTCACTAAGCCCTTCATCTTTGGGGGCCATCTTCCTGATGTACTCTTGGATCTTTGTTGTTTCATCTGGACAGTGGACTTGACACTAGCCCTCGGCCTCCCTCGCTATGCTTGGTGTACAGTCTTAAGGTGCTGGATTTGGGGTGAAACCCTCCATGCATTGTGAGGAGCTCTCTTGCCTTGATGTCAGTAGCCTCTATTGGCCAGTTTATTATACCAGCGGGGTATCTGATGACTGGCAGGGTGTATGTGTTGATGGCTCGGATCTTGTTCTTCCCATTCAGCTGACTTTTCAGGACCCGCCTTACTCTCTGTAGGTATTTGGCTGTGGCGGACTTCCTTTCTGCCTCCTCATGGTTTCCGTTTCCGCACCCCAAGGTATTTGTAGCTGTCCTGAACATCTGCAATGTGGCCTTCTGGTAGTTCAATCCCCTCGGTTCTGATCGTCTTCCCTCTTTTTGATACCATGCGACCACACTTGTCCAGTCCAAACGACATTCCAATGTCGTTGCTGTAGATCCTGGTAGTGTGGATCAGTGAGTCGATGTCTCACTCATTTCTGGCATACAGCTTGATGTCATCCATGTAGAGGAGGTGACAGATGGTTATTCCACTTGGGAACCGGTATCTGTAGCCAGTCTTTGTGATGATCTGGCTGAGGGGGTTCAGGCCTATGCAGAACAGCAGCGGGGATAGTGCATCACTTTCGTATATGCCACACTTGATGGTGACTTGTGCAATTGGCTTTGAGTTGGCTTCCATACTTGTTTTCCACAGCCCCATTGAGTTCTTGATGAAGGCTATTAGTGTCCTGTTGATCTTGTATATTTCCAAGCATTCCAAGAGTCGTAGGCTTTCTTGTAGTCAATCCAGGCAGCTCTTCGTGTTGCCTTGATCTTGGCCTCTAGCCTTCTCCATGGGGGTCTTTGTGGCTTGTGTTCATCTTATAGCCAAGCATCTCTAGGATCGATTGCTGTGGCGGATAGTGGGGATAGTATGTAGTGCTGCATTCATATCTTCTAGCAGACTTTCAGAGGGTACTTTGTCACTTAGCCTTGGCAATCTTGGTCATTGTACTTGGGGGTCCAGCTTAGTTATGATCTTCAATAGTTGGTCAGTCACCCTTATTTTGAGTGATTCAGTGCCGTAAGGGCTTGTTGTTATTGGGGCTTGGGACCCAATCTCTGAGTGTGGGGATGATGATGACGACGACATCTCTCCGCTGACCTGTCGTCCTGGCTCCCCATTGCCGTAGCATATTTGTTGTACCTCATTAATCTCTGGTTGTGATAGCAGTTGTCGTTTGCAGATGTTATAACACTGAGCTAGGAGTTGTTTCTTCCTCCATCCATCCCTACTGTGAAGCATGGGGGTGGTAGCATCATGCTTTGGGGGTGTTTTTCTGCACATGGGACAGGGCGACTGCACTGTATTAAGGAGAGGATGACCGGGGCCATGTATTGCGAGATTTTGGGGAACAACCTCCTTCCCTCAGTTAGAGCATTGAAGATGGGTCGAGGCCGGGTCTTCCAACATGACAATGACCCGAAGCTCACAGCCAGGATAACCAAGGAGTGGCTCCGTAAGAAGCATATCAAGGTTCTGGCGTGGCCTAGCCAGTCTCCAGACCTAAACCGAATAGAGAATCTTTGGAGGGAGCTCAAACTCCGTGTTTCTCAGCGACAGCCCAGAAACCTGACTGATCTAGAGAAGATCTGTGTGGAGGAGTGGGCCAAAATCCCTTCTGCAGTGTGTGCAAACCTGGTGAAAAACTACAGGAAACATTTGACCTCTGTAATTGCAAACAAAGGCTACTGTACCAAATATTAACATTGATTTTCTCAGGTGTTCAGATACTTATTTGCAGCTGTATCATACAAATAAATAGTTAAAAAATCATACATTGTGATTTCTGGATTTTTCTTTTTTAGATTATGTCTCTCACAGTGGACATGCACCTATGATGACAATTTCAGACCCCTCCATGATTTCTAAGTGGGAGAACTTGCAAAATAGCAGGGTGTTCAAATACTTATTTTCCTCACTGTAAGTATTTGATACATCAGAAAAGCATAACTTAATATTTGGTACAGAAACCTTTGTTTGCATATCATACGTTTCCTGTAGTTCTTGACCAGGTTTGCACACACTGCAGCAGGGATTTTGGCCCACTGCTCCATACAGACCTTCTCCAGATCCTTCAGGTCCTGTCATCCTGTCCCCTTTGCAGAAAAGCATCCCCAAAGAATGATGTTTCCACCTCCATGCTTCACAGTTGGGATGGTGTTCTTGGGGTTGTACTCATCCTTCTTCTTCCTCCAAACACAGTGAGTGGAGTTTAGACCATAAAGTTCTATTTTTGTCTCATCACACCACATGACTTTCTCCCATTCCTCCTCTGGATCATCCAGATGGTCACTGGCAAACTTCAGACAGACATGCGCTGGCCTGAGCAGGGGGACCTTGCGTGTGCTGCAGGATTCTAATCCATGACGGTGTAATGTGTTACTAATGGTTTTCTTTGAGACTGTGGTCCCAGCTCTCTTCAGGTCATTGACCAGGTCCTGCTGTGTAGTTCTGGGCTGATCCCTCACCTTCCTCAGGATCGTTGATGCACCACGAGGTGAGATCTTGCATGGAGCCCCAGACCGAGGGAGATTGACCGTCATCTTGAACTTCTTCCATTTTCTAATAATTACGGCAACAGTTGTTGCTTTGTCACCGAGCTGCTTGCCTATTGTCCTGTAGGCCATCCCAGCCTAGTGCAGGTCTACAATTTTATCTCTGATGTCCTTACACAGCTCTCTGGTCTCAGCCATTGTGGAGAGGTTGGAGTCTGCTTGATTGAGTGTGTGAACAGGTGTCTTTTATACAGGCAACGAGTTCAAACAGGTGCAGTTAATACAGGTAATGAGTGGAGAACAGGAGGGCTTCTTAAAGAAGAACTAACAGGTCTCTGAGAGCCGGAATTCTTACTGGTTGGTAGGTGATCAAATACTTATGCAATAAAATCTAAGTTAATTATTTAACAATCATACAATGTGATTTTCTGTTTTTCTGTCTTAGATTCCGTCTCACAGTTGAAGTGTACCTATGATAAAAATTACAGACCTCTACAAAACCTGCAAAATCAGCAGTGTATCAAATACTTGTCCTCTCCACTGTGTGTGTGTATATCTCTCTCTCTTTTATATATATATATATCTCTATCTCGATAGATATATAGATAGATAGTCATGCAGAAGTTATTACCTTACATATAATCTGCCACGATGACTACTTTCTATATCTAGTTTATAACCTGAATTCTATCCAATGCTACTGAAACAATTTCCTAACCCCCTTCTGGCTCTATGATACAGTGACGCAGAGGAAACGCTGCCCTTGAATTAATCTAATAATATCAGCAAAACGATAAATTGGTCTGGCTCTAGACAGCATGTTATTTATTACAAGGTTATGACAGCGCTGATTTTGTCATAAAGCTCTGCTTGGTCTTTTAAACAGTTTACCGCAATGCAGTACCAAAGCCTGCATTTATTCATTAGTTCAGGTGAAGTTAAATCTCAGCAGGTGTATCAACCAACTCCCCAAGAGGACAGAAATAAAAGCCTATTTTCCACCGCTGGTACCAGCTCAACTTGCCTCGACTCGACTCTTCTCGATTCGGTTTCGGCCCGCCATCCTCTGTTTTTCATTGCAGATACCCAGAGATAGTACCCCTCAATGTAGCTGGTCGTCACAGCAACTCCACACACACACACACACACACACACACACACACCTGCCATGACGTAATGTTCAATGCGACACACACACACACACACACACACACACACACACGTGACACACACTAGCTTACTCCCCGGAGTCATGTTACTCAGAATATAAAGACAGATAAATGGTATGAAAACCTTACAGCTGTGTTTTCCTCTGCCGTTGTTGCTGGAGTTGTCTGCTGCGGCCTGAGTGACCATAGAACCGGGCAGGACATGAGCAGCGCCTCAACTCCGAAAACCTTCAAGCACATTTTTGATGCGCCATCAATTTTCGTGGAACTGACAATATTCAAAATCTACACAGTTGATTTTTCACTTCAAAACTTCTTCTTAGAAGTGGATTTAGTGATGAAATAACAGATGAAAATTGAAATCATGTTTCTGGCCTACGTCTGGCAACGATGATGCAGCGAATACTGACAATTCTCTCTGATCAATCAGTAGTCTGCAGTGTTTTCACGTCACCTTTTGGTATTGCCTCAGCCTGATTGGAACCTCGACAGAGGTGATGCGGAAAAAATAAGTACCAGGTACAACTTTTTCTCAATGGAAAACCAAAATAGGTGAGTAGAGTCGAGGCGAGTCAAGCTGGTACCATGCGGTGTAAAAGGGGCAAAAGTGATTTCTGTTTCTGGAGCTGAAAGCTCAAGAGTTTCCCCCAACTCGGAGGACCGGTGAACTCAGAGTTTTCACTAAACCTGCTTTCTGGGACAGATCCATATACTCTAAACTCCACCAAGGACTCTGAAAGTACTTTAACTTTCTCCTGTGTAGGATCTCCTACAGAGACAATAAAAGTGAGTGTTCCCAGCCTAGGACTAAACATTAGACCAGGGCGCTACGGTGCGACCATTTTGTTCGCATATGCCCCTAAAAATCCATATGTGCGAACTGCAAAAGTGATTTACAAGCACAATGTGCGAGTAACTACCAAAGATTTAATGAATAAAAACAACACACAAATATGAAACTGCTGTTTTGTCCAACTGGAATTAATAGTATACTAGTGGTGACCTATGTAGTATATAATACATAAAATGACAATGCATATAGTAAAATTAAATAATTTACACATGAACATACTAACAGTATACAATTTGATTAAAATTTTACATTTTATCTAATGATATTGCACTAATACACACATTTGAACTACTTTCTCCTCCATGTTGTGTGAAAGAGCCTCTGCAGTGGAAAGATGCAGATTTTTACTGCACAGGATGGCAATGTGCCAGTATGTGCTCCTTCTAGTCTCCTCCTGAGTGTAACACGTTCCCCTTGTTCTATTTTACATCTGTTTACTAAAGTTATTGTCATACTGTTGAGTAGTCTTGTTTACATTAGGTGTGGCATGGGTTTTGTGGGTGCTGATGGTGTATCGCAAGTTTTTTGCGATGAGTGATCAGTGTTTTAAAAGCTGTTTTCAATGTGTGAAATTTTCAAAACATCTGTTTCAATATTATAAAAAGCTTTAAAAAGATTTTAAGGCCAATGCCAAGTGTCCAGATAGAAGGGTATTCACTGCCAGTGCTCCAGTGGTTTCACACCATAGTTGAACACAAGGAGAACAAGCACACACGTAGTATAAATATGTATAAAATAATTTTTTTTTTAAAACTCTGTTACATTTTTCGCTGTGCTTTTTTTTCTCATTTAGCAGCACATGTGCTCCTTGGGAAAAAAGTTAGCGTAGAGCCCTGTAGACTCCCCCCTCTTCCAGTATATGATAGGATTAAAATGTAGGTTAATTATACAGCACATCTGACCCGTTTTAAACAGTCATGCAGTTACAGATTCATTCCATTGTCATCCTTGTGTGACAGACTTGCTCGCCAATCACAAGCACCATATGCCTCCTGTTACACACCAATCAAAGTGGGCACAGGTGTACATTTACAACAATAAATGAAACTAGAGGAAAATGTGTGGGATAATACAGTCAGCCAAACTAACACAGGCAGTGGCTATGCTGCGGTGTTTCAGCAGCAAAACGTGGCCCTATGTAGTTGACGTGTTGTTAATTTGTCATTTGTGTCAACTATGCTCTGTGAGCCCGCTTTGTTTCGTTCTGTTCTCTGCACGGCCAGATTTCACATGGAGCACAATAAGAGCGTTTTGCCTGCCTGATTTTGCTGACTTGTTCAGATGTTAATTTGTTCTGTTGTCCTTGATTTTTGTGCTTCTACCATGGCCACGCTTGTCTACATAGTTAAATTCTTTCTTTATGTCTGTTTTAACTATTGTTGATATATGCTCAGGAGACTGCACAGGTTATTTTATTTTGAAAATTGACCAAATTCTCTATGCCGTTCTGTGTCTGATTTCCTGCCCGCTTCATCTGCTCTGTTGCTTGACGCTGCTTCAGTCAAAAATAGGGTAGCAGTGAATACTGAACTTTAGTTAAACTTTTTTTTATTTTTTATTTTAAATCGTATCATAATATGTGGTAGAAATAATTGCAAGAAGATGTTTTCTCCCAAATCGTTCAGCCCTAGTGTATGACTACTGACCTTTGCCGCCTTCTCCTTTTCTTGCTTTTCCAGCTCAGCAATGCGCAGGCTCAGTGCCTCCCAGTGCATGATGGGATGGCCCAGATTGTCTTCGCCATAGCCTTCCTGCCACACCAGTGCCGCGCTCTCTGAACTTTCATCCTCTTCATCTTCGTTATCAGCGTTGTCATCACTCCTCCTGCCGTCTTCTGCCTCGTTGCTTTCCTTCTCCTCTCGCTGCTGCCTCTGTCTCTCCTTCGCTCCCTCCATCTCTACAAGGGTGACAGCGAAGATACAAGTTTGGCTTCTGTGCACTAGGCTACTGTAAAATTATTAGATTATTTTAATGAAGAGAAAGCAGTGAAGGTCTTTGTGGGAACACCTCATCCTCACCGTAAGGAAACGGTTACATAAATCAGGAAACTCAAGGATCAGTCTATCGTCCACTGACGAACTGTGCGTCACGTAGAAAAAGGTTAAACACGATTCAACTCTGGCAGCGGCTGGGGTGGGCGTGAGGCGAGCATGACTGCAACATTTGTGTTGCGTTTTCTTTTGAAATTTTATAATAGAATTCTATATCTTAGCCAGTGCTCATGGAAAAGAAACTCAATGCTCAGATTTAAGTTTGTGGCAATTAAGAGTTTTTTGCAATTAAGAGTTTTTTGCAAATAGCTGGAGTCTGTCAATCTTGGGTATGCAAATTAACATTACTTACAGAGCCTTACATGGCCAAGCTCCCTGTTAAATCCAGGATCTATTGCACGTACACTTCTGGTCGCTCTCTGAGGCCTTCAGGCCAAGAATTTTCCTGTTCCTGGAACCTTTTTTAAAATAAGAGTTGACTGTGCTTTCTATGTTGTGACTCCGCTCTGAAACTCTCTCCCTTTAGCCATGAGAGTCTTGGATTCTGTGGAAACTTTTAGAAAACACCTAAAGACACATCTTTTTTGACAAGCATTTAATTAGCCATATGGTTTTGTATTTTACACGTTGTTGTTTTTAGTTTATTTTATTTTTTTACTGTAAAGCACTTTGTGACCGCTCTTGTCTGTGAAACGCACTATATAAATAAAGTTTTCTTAATTACTAAGACAACTATTCATTAGCATGCAAGGTCATTGATTAATACCTGTAAGAAAAATGAAGGGCCGGTACCAAATCATTTACTGGTGCGACCAACTGGGAAAGTTGAAAAGTTGGTCTGGAGCCCTGTGGACGGTAATATGTTGCATTAGCTAGCTCACTAAAGACACTAAGGTCATGACCTCTGTGTTATGGGGGAATGATGTGTTTTTAGCAACCTGAGAGAGTTTATATTCTACAGTTTATAGACTGATTCCAGAATTTTCAGACTGAACACATTTAAACATGAAAGGATTTAGTATTTTACGCCAAAGATTATTTTTGGCAGTGCAAAGAGGGCTTTTAAATAGCCACACTTTGTGCCTCTGGTGTATTACTATAACATTTACAAAGCTAACCATTTGTTTTTCTGTAACTAAATGTCAAGAACATCATTTAGTGCTGTTCTGAAGGTATTTACAGAATCCTTCAACCATCAGGACGAAAAAATATTCAGTCTACTGCACAATAAAAAAATCGAACCCATTTACCAAGTCATGACTATTTTCAATCCAGGTGGCTGGAAATGTCAAACTGTGTCTCCTTGTTTGACAGAATAATATCAATATCAATAAAGACAACTAACATTTTACATGTAACATTCCATGCATGTTATTTCTAGCTGCCCTTTTTGTGGAGAAATGTCTTTAAAGGAATCTGCAAATACCGTCAGGACAGCAGTACATGTAGTTAAACCACATTTTTTAAACATTTCCTTGCATATTTGTTTTCCCAAAAGAAGCTGAGGTCTGTGACTTGAATGACATAAAAGGTGAAACTATTGTTAGTTTTAAAAGGAGAAAGAAAGCTTTAGTTGGTCCTCTTGATGTTTGGGGTAATGTTAGTCTACTTGGACCCACCCTTGGACCCTTAGTATTTTTTAAATCCTGATGATTGCGGCCCTGCCTAAACTCAAAGTTAGATCCGTTAGCATGCAATACGTTATTTCTTTGGACCTAACGAAATTAGACATTTTTGTCTAAACTGACTAACCACATACAATGTAGTTATCACACCAAACTGGCATTAGCTGTTAAAAGGTGACTTACCACTTTGCCTGAAATAAAAGCACCGCTCTAACTAACGTTATTGCTCTTGTTATCAGAGAAAAAGCTGAGTGTTGCCACATAGTTAGCTCAGCTCCTCCTAACGTTAGTTACATTTCCCCTCACTTGCTTTCCATCAGGAGTTTCACTCAGCCAAATGCGGAAAAAATGCCCACAAGGGCTGTTCAAACTTATTCTCCGTCTTTTAAATTGTGTCTTGACGGCTTTACTTTTTGGCTGCTATCATGGCAGATATCCACTCACTTTGGGTCCAAACATACGAACAAAAGACTCCCAACTTCAAGAATTTCACGCCACACGGACAAGTTGGCAATTGGAAATTCTACTTTTCAACTTCCTGTCTCTGCCTTCAAAATAAAAGTGTTCTTGATAGCTAGGCACCGCTACCTGAATGTTAGAACGCTAGAACTCTGTAGACACAAAATGGCGGGCCCCCGCAGGATCATCTCCGCAGTTTACAGTAAATGACGTGGTGCAGCGGAAGTTGGTATTCTCCGGGTTGTTATTGCGGAACATCTGCTTTGTGCATATGCAGTCTACTTGAGAAAGCGGCCTTACACAAACACAACTTTTAAACTTTGATTTTGGTGAATATACTAGTGATGTGGGGCACTTAACTGGATTTACTGTATCAGACCACAAATGAGACAGCTGAGCATTTCTGGGGTCTGGACCTCACTGATACTGTACAAAAACTGAATTATATTTTATGAAGAGAATATGTTTTCCCGCGCACTTGGTGCTTGACCCTGCATGCACTGGCAATATAGCAGATAGGCTGTTTGGGAGCTGCTTCCAAATATTCCTCAGCGGTGGAGGGGGCTTATTAACTTACTAAATGTTGTTGCTGTATTCTGTGTCTGAATTACTGTTCAGTCTTTAATCTTAAAATAACAGCTTCAAAATATTTTGATGGATTACAATTATATCCATAATAAATAGGCCTAACATTTTGTATAACTTGCATATTATTATACTGATTGTATTTTCCCAAAATAAAGAAATGCAACATCCTTTGTGGTTGTTTGTGTTGTAATGCACTGTTCTCATATTATTATAAATTACAAATAGTAATTAATACATTTAACACACTATTTTCACACAGCTCATGGATTTGTCTCTGTCATCATCATAAAAATCATCTGTGGAAATGCCACCCAAAATTAATCTATCAGTCTCACGATGATTCGAATATTTCAGATTAGGAGAAGAAACTGAATCACTAGACAGAAAACTGAGACGTGTTGCTCTTGCTACGCTAGCAAGACATCGTCAAATTGTAAGTGAAAAGATGAAGACGATGCCTTTACATTTATATTTATAATAGATAAGTACACACATATTTTCTGAATTCTCAGGGTGAACAATCAACTCTCACAGTCAGACTACCTCCCGTCCTGGGGAAACTCTGACATGGACCAACTTGGTTTTCACATCACTTACAGTAAACTATGACAACAGAAGAAGACTCTGGTGTCACAGCTTTTTTTTATTTACAACTTGAACAACAATCTAGGTCCTGTGCACTGAACAGAAGTTCCTGTTTTGGCCAAAGTGACCTAGGACTTTCACCTCTAAGTCCCGAGTTTCAGTTCAAATCCATCAAATTACTGTTAAAGCTGTTCAGCTGCAGCATTATTAGAGAGAGACGGCTGCAGAGGCAAAATGATCTGTACAGTATTAACCCAGTGACTTGCTTTACGTACATTAAAATGGACACTAGGTGGCAGCACGCAACTATTAGTACTGAGTGAAGGACAACACTTAAAACATGACTTTTCCCTTCATGTGTGTCCCCCAGGATCTACAAAGCTACTGTAGTTATTTATATCAATAAATTTAAAGTAATTTTTTTATAACAACAACTTAGTATCTCATAATGTTATAACATGGTATCTCATTTTAGAGGGTAGTAACACTGGAAAACTAGAGACAGCTAGATTTCGGAAGTATTTGAAAGAGCCACCCCCTCCCTTCATGCCTCCCCAAAACACATTTTCATCTGCAATGAGCAGGCAGGTAGCTCAGCTATGCTGATTACAGTCCTGCCACAGCCAGATACTATATTGCTTTCATCTTTGTGTCAGAAAGAGACTTTTAACAAATAGACCCAACATAGTCACAGGAATACAGCATATTCATGAAATAAAACGGTTTCAAGTTAAGTCATTTTAACTCCTCATTAGTTTTAGATACAGAATACTGTGTACACTGCATGTAATGCCACAGCTGTTTGTTTTAAACTTGATTTCACTTCATTTAAGATCACATAATGGTGTGATGCTATGATAACCTAGATGCATATATCACCTTATTTCAGAGATTTTTTTGGGGGGGGGGGTGAGCCCCAGATTGGGAGCATATATAGAAATGGAGCCAAAATAATGTGTCTATAGGATGTCCTGAGTAAAAACCTAGGATCACCAATTTGTTTGTTTGTATCCTGGTCTGGATCAAACAGCCGATGGTGCATGCTGAGACTCAATAAAAGCTGGAGGTTGACAGAAGCAGCAGGGTGTCTTTATTTCTGTTGCTATAGCTTAACCAAGTCAGCATTCATGATACACAGAGACATACTGCGAAGCTACAAAAGCCTTTAACACTTACAGTAGACTACTAGTGACTGAAACAAACAATGATGAGGCAGAGGACTGAAACAAAGTCAATCAAACATAAAAACACAAGAAAACATTTATGGCACTCATGTTTAGTTTATACTCAGAATAATATTGCTTTTAAAACACAACCTCTATCCGTTATCATTGTTGTTTTATCACGTTATATTTTCACTGCATTTAAATATCAAATATATTCCTTTACTGACGTATTTACGTTATTGCTAACATTAAACGTACCTAACATTAGAGATATATTATTTACTTTAATAGTTTTGTTCAAAAGTATAAATTTTACAGAAAATAACAGTCCATGTTTTGTAGGATATACTGGGGACAGGGCAACTTCACGACATGCACAAGGATTTGATAGGAGGGCAAGGGAAGGAGGTTGGGCTTAAGCGGGGTCTCCCATTGGATGAGAGGAGCTGGGGGAGCTGTCATTCACACAGCCAGTCAGTCATACATGCTTTCTTCACTGGTATTTCAGGTACAATCCTTTATTCATATTTAGTTCTTCTCAAGCTAAACTACACTACTCGGATCCATAAACAGGAGTTTGACATGCCAACAGTAACAGCCATCAGCCAATCAAAGCTGATTCAGTTCCCTCGCAGTGTTCAAAGAAAAATGGCAAAGAGGTTGACAGACAGGTACAATGATTACATTACACACATGCACTCACGCGCACACACACACCTAACACACACAATGAACTACACCGTCACAGTCCAGAAAGATTTTCCATATAGATTTTTTTTTTATAGCTTGGATGATAGCATGAGCGCACAAGTATTAATTCATTACTCTAATTATTAAGTACTTTTTGGTGCATACAACAACTTAAGGATCTTGTTCCCACAAAATAAGAACACTTAATATTGTGTGGAATCAAGAATTTACTTCACTAGTTAATGTTTTGTGTGCACAAGATCTGTATGTATTGCAAACCAGCTGATAACTGTACACTTTCAACCTAAAGCATCAGAAAAGTACAATGGCACAATTTAAGATTTTTTCTTCAGTTTTCTCTTTCGCTGAGAATTCTGTTAAAACATTTTCACTGTAATGTTACAATAAGAATGAGCTGACAAAAAGCCAATCCATATAATTACAAGACAAGTCTTCATCTGTAAAATATGTAACCTTAAGTCAGTGTTTTTTTAGGGTAAAAAAATCTAACTGTTATGTAACCCCGTGCAGCTGTATTTTGGGGTGGGGCAATCAAATCCTGGATGGTGCCCCATAAGAACCTGCTTCTGCCCTGAAACCCAAATCTGAGCAGCATATTATAAGTTGAAAACCTTTTGCTAAAATGACAAAATTACCAGTCATTACCACTTGATTTAATAATAATTTTGTCATTTTAGCGAAAGGTTTTCAACTTTTTATTACATTTTAAGAATTCTCTCTGTTATCAGTGCCACATGAGTAATCTGCAACTCACATACACAGTTTTTCTAAGGGCAAGACTTATGTAATGTATTTATCTGACTGTCTTTTCATTTTTCCATCACATCTCCACCTCTCCTTCTGCCTCATCCATCCCCCTTCTTCCCTCCTCCCATCTCTTTCTCCTTGCCTCATCCCTCTACTTTTCCACCTCCATTTTCCATCCATCCATCCTTCGTGTCCTGTTGGCTGGCAGGCCAGAGGCTCAGCCAGCGCTCTGTCACATTATTCGCTGCTGAGTGGATTACTGTGCCTCCATTAGACTAATGAGAAAGCAGGAGGATGGAAAGAGGTGGGGGAGGGGCAGGGAGGGGGAGGAGAAGAGTGATGCAACTGAAAGATTGATGAGGAAGGAAAGAGAGATGAGAGAGATGAAGAAGAGGAGAAAAGTTAGATGAAGTGGAAGGAAAAAGAGATACAAGAGGGGGTATAAAGAGTTGAAAAAAGGAGGTCTGACGTAAGAGGGAGAGGAGGGAGTGAAGGATGAAAGGGGTAAGAGAAACAGGAGGGTGGTTGGAGGTTAATTAATATGAAGATGAAGATTGGAGTGGAGGAATGGAGGATGAGAGAATGGTGCAGTTGGGAAAATAGAATGAAGGAAAGTAAAGAAACAGTAAGCAGGGAGATGTGAGGTTAAAAAAAAAGGGAGGGAGGATAAGAGGGAAAAAGAAGTAAAAAGATGAACAGAGCAGTGAGGACTGAAATGAACAGAGAGGGAGGTGTGTGTGACACACACAAACAGAAATGTTAATGAAATACATAAATACATATATATATTTTTTTATTTACTCAGTTAATTCTTTGCTTTAGTTAGTTGGTTAGTTCAGTCTAAGTTTTATTTTGAAACATGGGTACTGTTTACTGTAACATACTTCTCAACACTTAAAAATTATAATTCCGTTCTGATGGTGAAATATTGAATTATTTCACATTAAATCAGCCGACACATTTTTTGATATTGTAATTTAAGAATGTAATTTCAGCCCACATTTCCAGAACAAATAGAGGTCCCACTTCTTACATCTCACCAAAAGGACCAGATTAAAAGACGCAAAAATGTACATTTTTCAAATCCAACATATAACGGCTTAGTGAGACCACATAACTTGATAAAAAATAACATAATCTTCATCTTACAAATGAAAAGTTTAAATCATGACAGTAAACCCCACCCAGGCTCAATTTTGCAGTTTTACTTTGTCTGGCATGACAATTAGCTTATGTTAGCAGATTTAAGATTAGAGCTGCAATGATTAGTTTATTAATCAGTTAGTTGATTTAATGAAATTGTATCTGCAACTATTTTTATAACTGATTAATCGTCAATTTTCAAGTAAAAAATGCCAAAACAGGATGGTTCAATAATCTCAAATATGAGAGTCGGCTGCTGTTCTTTAAGAAAATTTTATATTTTAGCATTTTGGACTGGTAATCACACAAAACAATCTGACATCACCTTGTACTCTTGAGTTAGTAGTTACAATCTTTTAAATTTATTCACTTTCCTTTTGCAGGGATATTTGTTCAGATTTTTTCAATAGACAGTTTCTGTTCCAACTACCAAGCTGATTTAAAGTGAACTTCTGAAAAGAAATATAAATTAGGCACTAGTCAGTTGGGATGAATGTCACCATCTACAGTAAAAATCTACAGGAAGAATCTAACTTACATGTCACAGGTTAGGGAGTCTAATGTTTCCATGAAGCCTTTTCACACGGCAAACACTTGGATGTAACCCAGTTTATGGCTTTACCACAGGAGAAATACACAAAACAAAGTGAAGCAACGCAACAGGTAATGGGAATAATGGTCATACTAGTAGTAATGAACAAGAACAAGACTTAGACTTCAACAGAAATGTGAGACAGAAATAAACAATGTTGCTGAGTCCAAAAAACAAAACCCTGATATGTTGGAAAGAAGAAATCCTCAACAGTGAGTCAACAGCAAACCAGCCTGAAGTGGGCCTGTCGAGATTTGAGTTAAACTGGGGACATTTAAGACACACACACACACACACACAAACGCACACACACGCACACACACACACACACACACACGAGGTAATGACACACATCTTTTACATTTTGAATATTCTTCCACATTGATGACAAATTCCCTCCATAGCCCACAGAGACAAACACAAGTTCAGAAAAACAACCCGTAAATAAATAGTATAAATAAAATAAATAAAGATCAACAGTTCCCGAGTTTGTGTGTGTAGTGAAACAGAAAACAGAACGGAACACAAAAGTTAAATGAAGTTAGACTTCACTGAGGGGCTATGGAGGAAAACTGCCATGGCTCTCTGCCTCCCCCCTCCCAGTCATTCTCTCATCTCTCTGCTGAGGCTCTCAGAGGTCAGTGCAGCGCTCCTGCTTGCTGTAGTGGTCAAACTGGCTCTTCCAGTGCATCATGTAGGAGGACCAGCGATGGAACTCCACCTTCCACTGACGCTCTGCCTCATCGATGTTGTCTGAGAGAAGAAACAAAGACACAGCGAAGAGAGTGGTTAGATTTAGCAAGTGAGCTGTCACGCCCTACTGAAGTTGTACGGCTTTACACTCATGATGTTCTGTTTCTTATGTCATGGTCAGAGGTTGTCATTTGTGTTTCAATTGGTTGCCAAGTAGGGATGGGTACTGAAACCCGGTATTAAACGGGCTACGGCTACTGCGGGTTAATGCTCTGCATTATTGACGATGGCGGAGAGAAGTAAATGTTACACTAAAGCAGCATCGATGATGACAATGCTCCTTGCCTCAACTGCAACAAGACATTGGCTTGTAAGGGTGGAAACACGAGCAATTTATCCAAAGTGCATCATATGCAGGCAGGTATGTATGCTAGCAGCTTACAGCCCACACATGGAGTTAATTAAATTATGCGAACATGGGTTCATGATTAAAAGTAACCATTAGCCAGCTGATTGTTTAGCTATGGGTGGTTCATAAATTCACGCAGTAAATAAGTGTTTATTTTATTTTTTTTACATTTCCATTATCACAACATTAGAGTCTATAATAGTGATTTGTTCAACACATTTCTGTTTCTTTTGCTGTAGCTTAAATAATTGTTTATTTTATTTATTGTATTTATGTACATTTCAGTATATAAAGCATTGTTAATTATTTTGTTAATTGGTTGTGGGTGGTGATGGAACAGTGGATAAGACACATTTCAGGCTGCTCCATAAATGTAAATGCTCCGTACTTGTATAGCGCCTTTCTAGTCTTTTCGACCACTCAAAGCGCTTTTACACTACATCTGCATTCACCAGTCACACACATTCATACACTGAGCCTAAGTGCTCAAACAGAAACTAACATTCACACACATTCATACACATACAACAGCCGCCAGGGGCAAATCGGGGGTTCAGTTTCTTGCCCAAGGACACTTCGACACGCAACCAGGGGGAGCCATGCATACACTTTTGTAGGAGGTTTCCTGTTCGTTCAGCGCCAGAATCCGCCCAGTTTTGGAAGCAGGAAGTGCTAAAAGGTTTGGTGTGTGTCTGGGAGAGAGGGCAGTTGGGAGAAAGAGGGAGCAGTTGGAAGAAAGAGGAGAGCTGAGGAAAGAAAAGATCGTCGGAGAAATACGTTTAGATAGTAAATCTAGTATAGTAAGGCGTTAATCCCTTCCGCGTTCATCTACTACAGTGTTTCTGTACATCAAAACCTTCTTCATCTCCAACTCAGCAATAACCTCCCAACAACCAGCCACCCACAATACTAAAACCGCCGTCAGCAAACCGGTCCAGAATCCATTACAGCCAGGCAGGTCGTAAGTGCTGAAAAAACTTCATCCCCTTCCCCTCTGCTTTCTATCTCTGAGCAGTGTGTGTTTTTTGATGTGGATGAACAATTACCTTTGAGGAACGGAGCAACCTTTCATTATTTGATGGGCAGTATTTCTTTCTTGCTTCTGAAGGATTGAACTGAATTATTTTTGAATTGCAATGAACTAAACTGCTTCTGAATAGAACTGAACTGAACGCTAAGTGGAAATTTAAGTTGTGTTTATTGTTTGTGGAACACTTTTAAAAAAAAAACACGTTTGCCTTTGATTGCATATCATTCTCGAGTTGTGGTTTTTCATTATTGTTCATTTTCTTGAATTCAACGGGAGGGTCCATAATGTTGTGTATGTATCCTTGTGTGTCCTTTGGTGGGTTAATATATTATTCTGAAATATAATCAAAAATATCTAATGTGTCAGGAGAGAAACTTGACTGGCACCCCAAAATAACCTGTAGCCAAACTGTCACAACATGCCTTTGGTGTGAGAGACCGGGTTTCGAATCCCTTATGCGACCTCTGACATATATATCAATTGTAAGTCGCTTTGGATAAAAGCATCAGTTAAATACATAAATGTAATGTTTAATTTTTTCTCTTTAAAAAACACAAAAATAACAGATAAGAATACCATTAAAGTACGAGTAAGAGTGTAAGAGTAGCAATAATGTTAAAATCTTAACCATACCCATCCCTACTCAAGAGTTTGGATCTTATGTAATATGAGCCGGTCTCAGGGCAGACTACTGGCTACTGGGTTGGGGGTCTATTGGCATTTGGTTGGTCGGTTTTTTGCTGTTTGTTGGTCGGGTCGGGGTCTTCCATGTTCGCGTTGCGTCTGTGAGTCAATTTTTTCTCCCACCCCTACTGGCTACTGGGGTTCTTGCCTGCCTGTTGCTGGAGACGGTGCGGCGTGGTTGGGGCATCCCACTCTCACAAACAACTACATTCTGTAACAGAATTATGCACATACACACACACACACACACACTCATAGACAAATTCACCCACACGCACACAGACACACACACACAAACTCTCACATATAGAACCCACCCCATGCGGAGACTGTGCTAACGAAACCCGGGTAGTGAGGCAACGAGCAACAAACTATTTACAAATGTACACTATTTAAACAAATGCCAAGCCTGAGAGACAGAGGGGCTGCTGGGGAGTCCGCAAGGTGCAAGAATGTCACAAGGAATGAATGGAGGCCACTCAGGTCAGCCTGAAGGCGCAAAGCTGACCACGGAGACGACAAACCGGTGTAATGACCACACAGCTCCGAGGCTTTTAGTCATTCATTGACGAGATTTGCCCAGCACTCGCTCACCAAAGGAGGGGTTGGCTGCCACATTCAGACGGTAGTATCTAGTGAAAGTGGACTGAGACGACCATGTGGCTGCTGCACATATAGCTGCAAGGGAGGCTCCCCTGCCACAAGGCCCATGAGGTAGCAATGCCACGGGTTGAGTGTGCCCGCACCTCGGACGGGACAGGCACCCCGAAAACATATACACCTGCTTAATAGCGTCCACAACCCAGTGGGACAGCCTCCTTTTTGACAAAGGCCTACCCTGGTGCCTCAAAGCAAATGAAGAACTAGACTTTCTTTCTGAGGGCCCGAGTGCACCTGATATATTCAGCCAGTGCTCTGAGCGGGCACAACATGGACTGGGTTGGTTCGACCACCTGTCCCTCCACGGGACAGAAAAGTGACCGTAGCTCGACTGGCTGGGTCAGATGGAATTTAATCTTGGGCAGGAAAGCCGGATTGGGGCGAAGGACTACACCCAACCCATCAGGCAGGAACCTGCAGCACTGACTGTGAATCTCACCTGGTGGAGGTTATAGCCAAGAGGAACACAGTTTTGAGGGAGAGCCACTTTAGATCAGCAGACCCAAGGGGCTCAAAGGGGGATTTCCCCCCCGAGGACCACATCCAAATCCCAAAGAGGGACTGAAGGTCTGGTCTTATGAACCGCCAGCCTCTGAGAAACTGGGAAATAAGGGAACAGTCCTGCTTGTTCAGCAGGGTTACGCCTGACTTCCCTGCCTCCAGCTGGACCTGCAAGAACGACAGGATGTCCTGTGCCCTTGCTGAGTAAGAATCCACCTGTTGAGGTCGACACCATGTGGCACCCCCGCAACACCCCCCAGCGATAAGCGTAGGCGGCTCTTGAGAAAGGGGCCAGCGCCTCTTACATTGTTCTCACCACAGGCTCTGGCAAGCCTAGGGCCTGGAAGCGGTGCCATATCTCCTCCACCCCCTGGGGGTGGAGCCTCCACTCCCCTGGGTGGGGTCCCCCCTCGACATGATGTCTGCTGGTGAGTTAAGAGGCCCTGGCAAGTGCACCACTCTGAGAGAGCAGAAGCGGGGGTGTGCCCACAGCCACAACTCGGTTGCCAGCTTGCAGAGGACAGGGGAGCCCAGCTCCCCTTGCCTTTTGATGTTGGCCGCTGCTACTGTGTTGTCCGTCCTGACGATGACCTCTCGGTCTGGGCAGAAACTGGCAAAGTGCCAGGTGCACAGCTCTTAGTTCCAAGACATTGATATGCTGAGTCAACCAGGGGCTGTTCCAGCAGCCACTGACCCCACAGCCATTGTGGACGGTGCTCCAGCCTGCCAGGGACGCGTCGGTGAAGACCAGTTAGAGATAAACCACCGGTCCCATTGCACTTCCTTTCTGTATATTGGCCGGGTCCCAGCGAAGGGCTCGGTAAAGCCTGTGGGAGATTGTGACCCTGGCCTGGTGGGAGCCCTGTGGACAAAGGCCCAGGCTCAGCAGGCACCTTTGGACAGGTCTCATGTAGAGGAAGGCAAGGGGAACTATCTGCACCATGACGGCCATTAAGCCCATAAGGCGAAGGCAGAGCACCCAGTTGACCTGTGATTGCAGCTGGAACTGGCAAAAGCAAGCTTTGAGGGCTAGATGTCTCTCAAGGATCAGGACTAGAGTAGCCATCCTGGAATCCAGCACCATGCCCAGAAATGTTGTCACCTGGGCCTTCGTCAAAACGACAAGAAGAGCAAGTGCCAGCCCTGGCGTCGTTTTGACGAAAGCCCAGGCCCCGAATTTGCTCCAGGAGCAGAGCTGCATGACAGCGACAAAGCTCCTTTGAGGCCACACAAATCAACCAATCGTCAAGGTAAATGTGGATCCTGAGCCCCCGCTGCCTCATGCCTCATGGGTGCAATGACAGCATCCATGCAGTGGGTGAAGGTCTGACGAGCCAACGAAATGCAGAAAGGCAGAACCTGAAACACGAACACCCGGCCCTGAAAGCCAAACCTCAGTAAACGCCTGTGCCCCTGCCAAATGGGTATCAGGAAGTCCTTGAGGTCAGTGGTGGCAAACCAATTCAATTAAATTTTATTTATATAGCGCCAAATCACAACAACAGTTCTCTCACAGCGCTTTTCATAAAAGAGCAGGTCTAGACCGTACTCTATGATGCTATTTACAGAAGCCCAACCAGTCTCCTGCTGTGATTGCTTGCCTTACCCTGGGGACCGTCAACATCTTGCATCTCAGGGGGCGGAGGTATTTGTTGAGCCCCCTATGATCCAGAACAGGACGAAGTCTCCCATCCCGTTTGGGGACCAGGAAATAGCGGGAGAAAAAAGCAGCCTGACGAGGTGAGAGCGGAGGGCCCAAATCTCTTATTGGCCGGTCTATACAAATATAGAGCATTTAGAAGGCCAGCATCCTGGAGTCGCCTCTTCACCGCTGATGCTGAGCACTGACTGTTGTTTTTCTGGGTACAATTTATTGACACTGCCACTGTGAGGACCTGTGAGGCACCCGTTTCTCAAACTAGACCTTCTAATGGATTTGTTCTCTTGCTCAGTTGTGCACTAGTGCCTTTCACTCCCCTTTTTTGTTCTGGTTAGAGGCAGTTTGTACTGTTCTGTGAAGAGATTAGTATACTGCATTGTACGAGATCTTCAGTTTCTAAGCAATTTTTGCATTAAATGGCCTTCATTTCTCAGAACAAGACTGACGCCTTTCAGAAGAAAGTTCTTTGTCTCTCACCATTTTGAGCCTGTAATGGAACCCACAACTGCTGATTCTCAGATACTCAACTAGTCTAAAGAAGGCCAGTTTTATTGCTTCTTTAATCAGCACAACAGTTTTTAAGCTGTGGGCCTTTGTACGCCTATTTATATATTCCATTACAAATCAGTCATTTACAACATCAACAATGTCTACACTGTATTTCTGATCAATTTGAAAATTCTAAAATAAATTTCCAAGTGACCCCAAACCTTTGACTGGGAGGACTGGTGAAGACCTGTATTCAGTACAGATGTCGTGTGTTGAGTAGAAGCACTGTTTAAAAGTAGTGTTTACCAGTGATATTGAGGAGGCGTGGCAGGAAGCGGTTCCAGAAAGCACACATCTGGTTCCTCAGACCTTTGTGGATCTTCAGTGGATCAGTGTTGAGTCCAACATGTTTCTGTTCGCTGATAGTGAAAAGAGGCCAACGCCTCTTGGTGTCCACCAGACCGTCATGGTTCCCATTGGGATTTCTGAAAGGGAGGAGGACATGGGTGGATAAAAGAGACACAGTTAGAATAAGGAGGGATACTACAATTGAAAATACATTAGATGGGAAAACAATGAACTTAAACAGTTGCCAGTTTTAGTTTAGCTAAATCAATGGTTTAACATCAACAGCCCTACAGCCAAACTGATGCTTGGCTGTACTGGCAAGAACTTGGCCACTTATTGTGTAATTTAGCCACCAGCACCGCAAACCTGAACCACAACAAATGTACAAAAAGAGCATGGCACAGAGCAAACACATACTTTTTACATATTCCAAATACCGATGCAAATACATTTAGATAATTAAATAAGGACATTTTTGTGGCATTAAACAGGAAAGTGTTGACACTTTCCTGTTTAATGGTCACTAGTAAATTTGTCTATAGTTTACAAATTTACTTCACGACGTACCCTCTAGCTTGCAATAGAGCTTATAAAAATGAATAGATCTGCAGGGCCAATAAGTAATAAGAAATGTCAGTACAGAAAGGAGAAACATGTATTTGAGAACTTTTCAGAAACTCATTGGTAGTGAAACTACAAATGCTTTTAGCTTTAAGTTTGACAATGGGCTAGCCAAAAGTAGGCAGCCTGAGCCTCAACATGTAATGTCTTGTATGTTTTGAAAAGTCTTCTGAAAAGGTTGCTGTGCTCCAGTGGAAAGAAATCAGTATATGGCTATTTTATCAAAAGCCTGGAATCAGCGTTCTGCTAAACTGTTGCCATTTCTCACTTGCTGAGACACTACGACTGTCCAGACATAATGGAGGATAGAAGAGGAGAGGGACGATATGATGATGAATAATACATCATCATATCGTCCCTCTCCTCTCTCCTTCTATCACTTTCTGCAGGTGTTTCTGGATCAGGAGCTGTGGGGTCTGGATCTGTTGCTTCGTGTCACCTGCTGCCCTCCTGTTCCTGCTCGACACCCGCTCCTACTGTTATTATTAGTCCTAGTATTTCTGTGCGTATATTGTGTTGGCTAAATGGATCTGATCTAAATTTTTAATTCACAAAATATGAGCTGTCATTTGTCAGGATCTCTCTGACTGAATAAAATGGTGAGATTTATTCTCATAGGTTCACTTTGTCTCTTTAACATCTACCTGTTAACGTATTTAAGGACCTCCAGCCGTGCCCCCAGGGCAGACTGAGACCCCATCCACACTACTAAGTTTCTGTTTTAAACACAGACCTTTTGCTACGCTTGCACCTCCCATCCAGACTAAAACGACGAAACCGAAGACCTCAAACGGAGAAGTTTGAAAGCGCTGCATACCCTGTTTTTTGTTTTAAAACAAATAGCAAATACAGAGGACTTTAAAAACCATTACGCCGACACTCACATCTGGCTTCCTGATTGTGTCTTATAAGTCATGCAAAACAAATGCACAAATCTACTGACAGTGTTTTAGTTTTGGTATTTTTATTAAAATATTTTGTACTGTGCAAATAACACTTATATATACTGTGCATGTTGCTGTATTTACTTTGCGACGACTCCCAGTCTGTTTCCACCGACCAAATTGCTTTATACTCCTGTGTTACTTTCAGTAACAGTTCCACCACGTGCTCTCATCTGTAGTAGTACTTTCTTCTATCACCAGATCTTCTGCAACTGCTGAAAAGACATCGGGATTTACATCGGCACGAGCATGCCCAGTGTACGTGAATGGCTACTACATGTGTGTTTTCAGCCATTTTAATATAGACGGAGATCAATTCCGCAGCTAAAACACTCGTGTGGACAGAGATCATTTTCATTTTAAAACTCGTAGTGTAAAATGGTAGTGTGGATGTAGCCTGAGAGTGTACAGTCATGCTAGCGGATTTTATGAGACTGTACTTGCCCTAAATGTTACTGTCAGCATGCTAAGTTTGGCAGGCTCAAATTACAGATGAGGCTAAGAGAAACACAGGTATTTGTAAACCAAAATATGGCGCCAACTGAAAAGTCCGAGGACTATTTAAGTTATTAGGATACATCATCTGGATATGATAAATTTCTGTACAAAATATTGAGTCAATTAATCAGTGTCCTCAATCAACGTCAGTGTCCTATCGCATTCCCATCAGGCTGGAAATACCCTGAAGTAAGTGGATGATTTGACTAAGGAAAAAATCCTTGAGACTCCTTAACTTGGATTGCTTTACATGTGTGTTGTTGTGAGTTAATGCACTTTCTTATTTCTAATTTGTATTTCTGAAGTGTATTTATCATTTAATGATTTTGTTGAACATTTATGAATTTTATCTTATGAAGTTATTTTGCGTCTGCCCCCTCAGTGCCGTTTTGCTTTGCTGTGGGTAAGTTGTGAGGAAAAATGCTAATGCGCTGTTGTATTGTTTTCTTTGGAAATTAATAACTTAAAATTTGAAGACAACAGCACTGGTATATCTTTATTTATAAAGCTATACTTGGCAAACTTCCACTGTACCTCTGTAACCTCCTCTCTGTCTGCTCTGGTACCTATCAGCTACGCTCCTCAAAGTGGTTGCTTTTTAACTTGCCACGAGTTGCAACTGAATTGGGAAGAACTGCTTTCTCTTATTCAGCACCTTGGGGGTGGAATAATCTACAGAAAGAGCTAAAGTTAGAAACCCTTATGTCCATTAATGAATTTAAAACTACTGTAAAGAATGTTGTGATGGAGACATGTTCTTGTTTTTTAACATTTTGTACTTGTTTTATCATGAAAATGTAACTTGGTATTTATTATGTATGCATTTGTTGTGATTTGGCTGCTACCTTGACCAGGTCTCTCTTTTAAAAGAGATTCTGAATCTCAATGGGACTTCCTGGTTAAATAAAGGTTAAATAAAAAAAATTGTTGTTCTAACTTTTAATTCATACTGTTTACAGTTAATAAGATTATGTTAACCAGCTGTTTAGTGTTGTTTGACCATTACTATAAGTTTGATAGATATGTTCATGTAACTTTCTAGGCAGCATTTATATCATGGTGGGTGTGTCATGTGATCAATGTAGCACTGCAGAGATCTTAGCATTCAATTCCTGAGTAAGTTCTGTTATTTTGTATGTTTATGAGCAGAGGTGCACAAAAAAACAGAAGGCCAGACTGTGTAACGTCTGGTCTTGTCTGTAGCTGGCCACCTCATCTATTCTGTAACTAAGCAACCAATGAAGCCAATCAAGATGAACTGGTCTGTCCTCTCTGGTGAAATCTATTTTAGGTCTGCAACTAATGATTATTTTCACTGTCTTCGATTGTTTGGTCTATAAAAAGTGAGAAAATGGTGAAAAATGTTGATCCGTGTTTCCTAAAGCCCAAACTGACTGTCCCTTTGTTTTGTTTTTTTCCACAACCCAAAATGGATTCAGTTTACTGTCACAGGGAAGTAAATAAACATGAAAATATTCACATTTAACAAGCTGGAATCAGAAAAAAAAAAATGGCTCAAACCGATTATCAAAAAATTTAAGAGGTGACAGCTAATCAATCAATCATAGAAGCTCTACTGCTGCTCAGTATAGTTCTTATGTACATAGCAGATTCATTATTTCCAGTCTGTGATGCCTCACCCAGTTCGTGCAAAGTTGGCCCAGTATCTCATCATGCGTCGGCTCAGCATCTCCTCCTCTCGGGTGTAGTTAAGTCTCTTCTCCAGTGGCAGGCCAAAGACAAACTCGATCTCGTAGCCATGGATCACACCCATCCACTCTGGCCAGGCCAGGTTGGATGCTCGGTGGTCAAACAGGTAGACGAAGACCCCTCCTTGAGGAGCAAGAGGAGAAAAGGATGATGGTCAATGGTCTGACATCATCACCCTCTGCAGATTTGAAAATAGTTTAGAGCCTGAAGAACTTTCCAACTAAAATATCTTAGTGTTTACTATATTAAAACTGCAAAATGGCTCGATAGTACCCACTAAATCCTTTTGTGAGGATAAATTGCCAAGCTTTTCAGGATTCATCAAATGGCATTTACAAGCCAATATCCAGTCACAGTCATGGTGCCATCTACTGGCAACAGAAATTAGAAAAGAAATTACATTACAATTACATGTTGCCTTGGCAACACATTATTTGCCATAAAACAGGAAGCTGTTTTTTTGAAAGGCTAAGGATGCTTGAAACCTCACAAAACTTTGCACACACATCATAAAGGGGTGTATTTTGTTGTCTGATATGGTTTGGGGGCATGAGTGTGGAAATATGGCTCAATTAGCACCCCCTAAATTTCAACAAAGCAGCCCCACCGTACATTACAACTAGATGCATAAATTTGGTTGGTAGCGGTAATCATCTCTAGACTTTAAAAAAGCCTCTCGGAACCAGTATACTTAACCCAACAGGACGTCAGCCATTTTGAAATAATCTTAATTGGATTGTTTGGCCATTTACAGGCTTCGTTCTTTAACATACTTCTACTAGATAAGTAATCAGATCAAACTCAAATTTGGGCAGTGCAATCAAGACCGTTGCAATGTTAAAATGCAAAGCTTTTGAGTTTCCTTTTAATGTCGTCGAATTTCCATGTTTTGATGTGTCACATTTAGTACCTCTGCTAGCACTGTTCAAAATCATCAGATCCTTTCCAAATTTTTGGACATTTTATTTAGAAGATACTTTATTGTGACATACATGTTGCAAAATTCATTCTCTGCATTTAACGCATCCCACATAGGCGCAGTGGGGAGTAACTCCAGATGTTTATCAGTCTCTGGTCAATAGCACTGACTGGAGAACCTAACAACATGCACACTCCACACAGAAAGGCTGGGATGACCGGGGTTTGAACCCGCAACCTTCTTAATGTGAAGCTACAGTGCTATCCACTGAAACACCGTGCCGCCCATGCAAATCTGGATAGTTATTGCATTCATAGTTATTGCACCACCTATGTAGGATCTGAGCCACACCACCTCCTCTTCAAGACAGAGGGAAAGAGAGGCATGATAACATGCAAACTATGGAGAGGGAGAGAAGGGGAGAGGCTGAATGTCCTGGGGGATGAAGATCCAGATTTTCCAGTTATTTCTCAATGGGGGTGTTCAGAGGACAAACGGGGGCACTGGAAGCAATATTTAGGAAAGGATGGTGTTGAGGTACTGGCGACCTGTCCAGGGTGTACCCTGCCTTTCGCCCGATGTCAGCTGGGATTGGCTCCAGCCCCCCGCGACCCAGTACGCAGGATAAGCCGTTGTCGATGGATGGATGGATGGTGTTGGGGTGACCTTGGGAGGTGTTTGTTTTAAGGCTAGTTTCCGCTAAAGATTTACAACAATAGTAGTTTAAACTTTCAACTACTTGCAAAATAACTGGAGTCTGCAACATTAAAACCTGCTAGTTTACGGGACTGCAACTGGACAAAATTTCACCCACATGGCGTTAACTGCGTAAACTCTGGAAAATGTCTCTTTCTTTCTATTTCCTGTGAAAGAATTTCTTTCTCTTAAAATTGTTCATTTCTTTGAGTGATACACTGTGAAAGCCTTGTTACCGCAGTGGTTACACATTTACAAGAGGGATATTCCTCTGTCAGACTTACCCCTGAAAGCAACTTCGAGTCCTGCACCTGATGTGACACCATTGACTGCCGTGAGAGTAATCAAGTGGACCCACGTCATGCTGTGAGTCGCAGCCAGTTTATGACCCAGCGGTAAAATAACTGTTGGAGTTTTGCTATATAAAAATGTTCTAAAGTGAGCCGCAGCCTTGCTCTGTTTGGGACTATGAGCTGTACTTTACCCGAGGTGAATACATATTTAAAAACAACAAAATGTCCCCAAATCACACACAGTTTCTGGGGGGAACATTCACTCATTAATTAAATATAATTTCATTTCACATGGTTTTTCTGTTCCCTGGGAAGGTAATAAATGTGTTGTTTGTCATTCAGTGATTTTTAATAACAACAGTAACAACAACAATAATAATCATCAACAATATTCAGGGAAATTAGCCTACATCTTATTTGATGGGGGCGGTAAAGGACCTAGATAATGGATAGGGGGGCGCTGACCCTAAAAAGGTTGATGATCTAGATCAACAACACCCTCAGGGCCACACACACATGTCTACACATGTGTTTGTGTGCCTGTGTGTTTGGGCTATGAACCTACAATCCAGAGAGGATTTTATCCTGTGACAGCTCACACATTTAAAGAGTGTTCAAACATACTGTATTATCTATCAGTATCTTCAGTGAAGTCTCATGCCACTCGTAGTGAAATACATTTTTCATTAAAGCTGCAAGCAGCGTTGGGCGGGCCCTCGCACGTGTAGCACGTCAAGTGAGGCGGCTGGGTTGTAGATTCTGGAGCTCTGCCAGCGTGGCTGTGAATTTGCCAAGCGCTTCGCACGCTGCACAAAGGTGTTCAAATCATCACTTCCTGTGTCCCCTTTGTGACGTTATTTAGCACTTGGCGCTATGACTAAAACTGAATATTGGCATGTAGATATGTTCAGGGCGTGACTATTATCAAGCATGTAAAGTTTGGTGCCGATGTGAGCATGTAGACTGAAGTTACAACAACTTCCTGTTTTATGTCAAATCATCGATTTTGGACGCCACGGCCACGCCGTTCCACAAAAACTCACCGTTTGTACAACTTTTAATCGTCAATGGGTTTAGACTGAAGTTGGTCGGACTAATTCTCTAGGAGGAGTTCATTAAAGTAGTAAAGAGTGTGTAAAAAATCCCAAAATTAACATAAAATTCAAAATGGCCGACTTCCTCTTGGGTTTAGGGCATTGCTCCAAGAGGCTTTTTGGTACGTCTGGACATGATAAATATGTGTGGTGCCACAGAAATTTCATACACTTCCTGTTGCCAGTAGGGGGTGCTGTGACTATCGGTGAATGTTGCCTTGTACATGTGTTCAGGGCGGGACTTATGAAGCGTGTAAAATTTGGTACAGATTTGATCATGTACAGTCAAGTTACAACAACTTCTGGTGTCACGGCGAAGAAAAACAAAAATCCCTTCAGTTTCAATAGGGGCCTCGCAAGGTTCATGCTCGGGCCCTAAAAATAATTCCTTCTGTTTAGAGAAAGAAAAACAAAAATCCCTTCAGTTTAAATGGGGACCTCCCACGTTTCGTGCATGGGCCCTAAATATGACTTTGAGCTGAGAGAGTATTTTTGATAATAAGTGCCACAAATACTAAATAGTGAATCAGGTACTCCTGGATGAGAGCGACTATCAGCATCCAACGTTGCAACCATGCAGAGCTCCCCCACATTCACTAAACAAACAGAATTAGCTGATTGCACACACCAAGCATTAGGCACACACTCGATATATTATATTCTGGTTAATGTTAATATTTGTCTTTAACTTCTAAATGAATGCTTTATATAATATGGTTAAACTGTGGGCTTGATGAAAGGTCATCTAATGGCTTGTGTGATGTCAGAGGTTTCAATCAATCCAGATGTATTGTGTCCCAACGTGTCAGGAGTCAAATGTTTTAGGTTTCAGATAGTAAAAAGTCTGCTAGATGAAGTTTGGTTTTGTGAGAACGAGAGTGCCAAACTGTAGTTGGTGATACATAAGCTGATGTATCAGCTTTTCTGCACACTGCAGCACACTTACATTGTTCCAGAAGTAGCTTCTAGGTTTATAGCTGTACAGAAAACTACACCCTCTACTCGTGACAACTGTGTACTACAACTCAGATTTCTTACCTTGTGAGTTTCCTCCACTGGTCATCACCCCGGAACTGGCTCCTCCCATGTTAGCTTTGATGGCGTTGTTCTGGGCATAGGAGCGAGCAAAGTGGGCCAGCGGGCAGATGACGTTGTGGTCACCCACGATGTCATCCAAGGCTTCACGGTTCTTCATCCCGTTATTCTCATCCATCCAGTCAGTATACTGTAGCACCACCGCCTCCAGGCCAATATCGTTAGCATGTGGTACACTCATCTTGACACCTGGCAGAGTGAAGTTTAAAGGTTTTAGGGGCATTGTTAATTGTTTAAGATGTACAGTGTAACTGTGCCTGTGAAGCTGTAAATCATGGCTTTAATTGTTTTGGTTTATTTTGATGAGCCGATTTCTACAATTCTCTCTGATTAGTCACAGTTAAAAAAGAAAGATCATGAAGAACAAGTTTCTGCAGTTACATAAAAAGTAGAAAACTATTGCTACACTTTCTGTTTGTAGTGACTTTATTGTTTCATGAAATGCTAGCCTATTTCTTTTTAAATCTAACCATCTAACCATGTTTTTCCCACAAGACAAATTTTATTGTATAAGTCATAACTGCACACACAATTATACTCTAAACCTTGAGTTTAGAGTCACATTATAGCAAAGCGTTTTCTGGAACAGAATTATGCGGTATTCTTTTGACGTCCATCAGTTTTTTCCAGCTGAGGGAGCTTCACCTTCCAAGAAGTCCTCTCTGGAAATAAGGCTCTCATTGTCCTTGCTGAAGCCTGGCGCTCCATACAACAGGAAGTAGGAGCCCTCGTCCTGGTTGACCCCGAGCAGGATCTGAGTGTCTTTAAAGTTTCCTGAGTTGAGCATGGCCTCGGGAGTGTCGGGCAGAACCTCGCCATCCACAACAGGGACAAATGAAAACCGGAAGAGGGCTGACCACGGCAGGACCTGCTCAGAACAGGATGACAAGTTCAAATGTACATGACTTTGTCTGAGTGGCTGTGAAAGAGATAATAAACAGACCAAATGTAACATGACTGAAAATGGGAAATTTAAAGTCAGTGTAAGTGAACTTAAACTTAGAGCAAGAAACCTAGTAAATAAGACCACTGCATTCAGACCAGCACTTCAATTCACCTATCTCGTATACAGGTGCATCCAAAAGATTTAGGGAAAAAATCTGCTCAGATAAGTTTGGGCATTCATTAAACTTTGCCATCAGGTTTCAAATCCAAATTAAATTCTTGCAACAATTTGATAAGTTTCATGATTTGTCAGGTTTTTGTATTTGCAATAGAAAATTACTTTTACCGTGATAGAAGATTTAATTAATATCACATCATAAACCCTCAATGCAAGTTTCTTCATGCTGCTCCACTTCTTTATCAGTTGACAAGGAATTCTACCTGAACTAAACATTTTGAAATTTTTCTGAAAGTCCAAGGATAGTGTGATTCTATATTTTTCTTATGGTCAACATCTCTCATGAAAAGACCCAAACCAACAATTTGTTGCTCATCTCTCTGTCTGTAGCTCCCAGCCCCAAGCCCTTTCATTACTAGTGAAGACGTTATTAGGATTCAATTTATTGGGGCTATTTCCAAAGGTGGATTAATCCACAGTTGGTGCTGTAGTTTATTTTGACTCAATGTGTGTTGATGGTAATGAGAAAAAAGCATGTCACTTAGTGCAACGATGTCGCTCATTGATTTAACAGTTTCATAGTTTCACAAAACTACTAAATATATTAAATCTGAATTAGATTTTGACTGCCATCTACATGGATCTAGATGGGAAAAAATGTAAAAACCACTATGAATCTCCTAATGGGAGTGAGAAAGAGAGTGGCTGAACCGGTGAACACTGGTGAAGAAAGCTCAAAAACTACAGTATTTCTTGAGGAAGCTTAAGAAGGCCAAATTCCCGTGTCAAGTTCTTGTCAGCTTTTACAGAGGAGCAACAGAAAGCATCCTGACTGGAAACATCACAAACTGGCATGGGATGTGCACAGCCCAGGACCGGAGGGCTCTGCAGCGGGTGATTCAAACTGCTCAGAAGATCATTGTTACCCATCTCCCGAGCATCAGTGATATTGGTGAGGTGAGGTGCCTGCAGAGCCCAAAGGATACTATATATACATACACGAGATTACTGTATATTGTCTGCTACATAGCAGAAGGGAGTTACAAACTCAATATCACCTTACAACCTGTTGTAATGTAACAAATAAATCTACCTTGTTAAAAAACATTCTCAGAAAATTCTTTGCGGAGCTCATCAACTGCATTCCCTTCTGAAGCTGTCCGTCTAGAAGAGGATAAATTGAACTTCACTGACTGTTTACTGACAGAGTCTGCATTACCAGCCACTCCTGGTCGATGAGGTCCTGTGGAGATTTATCGCGCAGACAGTCCACCAGCTCGGTATCGTTGCCCCCGTTGCAGCCGACCAGTTTGCCCAACAGCGTGGCCCGTCTGCGAGCCTCAGCAGGAGTGACCGAGGCCCAGGGACAGTTGGGGACTCCGCTCTGGAGGATGGCCCTGGAGAAGGTAGGCCGGCTGTCTGGAGACAAGAGGTGGAATCCTACTGAGGCGGCACCAGCACTCTCACCAAAGATAGTCACCTGTTTACCAGCAAGTAGAGAGATCAGTATCAAAAGCTTGATTCTTAGCGTAGAAACAATACGATAGAGAAAAACAGTGAGAAAATAACCTGTTTGGGGTTTCCACCAAAGAAATGGATGTTGTCTTGTACCCACTGCAGCGCCATTCTCTGGTCTAGCAGTCCCACATTGCCAGGAGCCTCTGAGGAGCCATGGAGAGCAAGGAAGCCGAAGGCACCAATCCGGTAGTTCATGGAAACCACAATGACGGTCTCACTATAAGCTAGGTAACGACCATCATACACGTCCAGAGAAGAAGAACCACTGTAGAACCCTGGAAATGTTAAAAAGTACAGTATTAACCCATTTCTCCCAATCTCCCACCACAGACAGAAGCAGACATCAATTCAATGCATAAAGTGCAAATGACTTCCAAAGTCAAAGTGTCTACTCACAAAAAGTGGAGGAGCAAACGTAGTGGACACATATTTAACAGATGCCAAAATTGGCACTCTTTTTTTATGCACCTGCTGGAGAACAAGGCACGCCCGGGGCACGTATCCACTGAATATTGTATGAATTTTGAAAACAGAAGGTGCGGCCCTATTGGTACATGCCCACTCCTTTACCTTACATATTACTGATGACTGCTGACCCAGTGTCCTCACTGCAAGAATGACTCGTGTAACCTATTTATACTACTGAAGTTGAATCCAAGTACCTCCGCCGTAGATCCATGTCATGACGGTGAGATTATGTGGTTTGGGTGAGGGGGGTACCCAGATATTGAGGTACAGGCAGTCTTCACTCATCTCTCTGTTGGGGTTCCACATCTCGCTGCCCTGGAAGCCAGGGAACGATGTGTCCACAAACTGATAGCAGGCCTTGGGGTATGCGATTGCGTCCCGCACCTGTGTCCATGACTTCTTGGGCTCAGCGCGACGGAAACGCAGCTTCCCGGTCGGTGGTTCAGCAAAGGGGATACCCAGAAAAGCGGTGACATAGCCTCGTTCTGGCAGTTGCAGATGGATCCCGCGGACTGGACCACTACGTGTCTGAACGATGAGGTCTGCCTCACTCTGGGAGGAGCAGGTGGGAAAGAGGAGAGACAGGAGGAGGATTGGGGAAAGGAGGAGAAGGACGGAAACCTGCATGATGGAGGCAAAGACACAGACCCTCTGTGCGGCTGGAGCTGTGGTCGTGATTCCCTCTCCAATCAGTGAGGGCAGGGTCTGCTCTGCTTCGCCTCACCTCTAGAGAGAGAGAGAGAGAGAGAGAGAGAGTAATATGATTACAGTAGAGTGATGGAGAACAGACTAAAAGAGGGAGGGAGAAATCAGATGAGGAAAGAGAAGAGAGGACAGAAGATCTAGGAAGTCTGGAAGTGTCATCAAGGTAGATTTAAGATCTGTTCAGACAGGCCTAACCCTAACCTCTAATCCAAATTATTATTGGTCACATGCCTTGAACCCCAGATTCAAACCACATCTTGTCAATTAGATTTGGATACTGTATTTCTTATGTACATGTGATCAATGACTGAATCCAGCACCTGCTGGGCTAAATCAAACAGGTCCTTCCGCATCGACACATTGTCAATATAGAAACTAGGTAGTTTAAACAATCTCCTCACTCATTCTATACGAGGCCTTTGCTGTGTGATGAAGCAAATGCCACTGCTAGTTTTCCCTGAAGCTTATTATAACATTCATTTATATATAATATATATAATCATTATCATTTAAAAAACATCAGGGGAGGTGGGGAGGCACCACTATAAATCACTGCAGGAAATCTGGTAAGGTGTTAATTAAGCAAATAAGGTTAACTTATAATGCCATTGTTTTCATTGTCTAAAATATGACTAAGACTACTAATACCTAAAGGATGCTAGTGGAGGCAGATTTGGCTATGCAAGACTTTGGATATCTAAAGAGCTGCAGACTCCACTGAAGAAACCGGTAGATATACCTCTCTGGTTTACTACTGTCTCGATCGGTTAGTTAGTTAGTGTTATTGTGCGTCAAGGTAGACCAGCAGCTCCTGTGTTCTGCAAGGTAAATTTACTGTTTTTGTGAGGTGAGATGAATAAAGCAACTGTTTCTGGTTAAAAAAAAAGGATCTTACTCTTTAAAAAAAAAAGGGACCCTTTCCATAATGTTGTCGGACACTATACATATATACTAAATACTACACACTGAGCCTGTCAGAGGCAAAAACAAGCTCTTTAGTGGACGTACTTTGCTGGTCGCAATTGCCACAAGGTTTACGTTGCAGGACGGTCTTGCTGCTGCTGACAGCAGCGCTCGCTCAATAATTGACCACTTTCAGAAAATGCTGTCCCCATTAGTTACATAGACAACAAAATATTGGAAAATAGCGTCCAGGTTGAAAAATACCCTTTAAATGTCACTTATTAAAAATAAGTGTTTCATTACATTAGACAATTCTCCACAGATTAATTAATCTGGAATATTGTAACACACACTGTTACACCAACACATTGTCAACATATTGTTAAATTATATCACTTCTAAAATGAAGATCTAAACGCTGTATTGAACACCATTCTTCATGTCTTGGGTTTAAGCTGACAGATCAATACATGGGAGGACTTTTGTCTACACCCTGCTGCAGGTTATCAGTGGACAGTACAGTGAAGAGAGATGTGTAGGTGGGCTGTGGCTTCCCAGAAAAGACTTATTAAATATTCAACACCAACACAACAGCAGTCCTGCTGCTCTACAGCACAGATGATCGTGTCAGTGCTACAGTAGAATCAAACACATACATTGCTTCTGTTGATGCTCAGGAGCTGTTGTGGTGAACAACTCAGGAGGATACAGTGTTCTATTATATCACACAATAAGACATGGGTGATCAGGCTTTTTAGGGCCCGAGCATGAAATATGCGAGGACCCTATTGAAACTGTAAGGATTATTAAGGCCCGAGCATGAAACGTGTGAGGTCACTTTAGAGGTCATCCTACATGTAAATTTTGGTACAGATGTGAGCATGTACACTAAAGTTATCATCGACGAAAACTTTTCATCGTCAATGCCTTTAGACTGCACAGCGAAAATTTGAAGATGATTGGATTCAACCTCTAGGAGGAGTATGTTAAAGTACGTAACCTGCAAATCACCAAAAATGACCATTAAAATCAGAATGGCTGACTTGCTGTTGGGTTAAGGGCATCACTCCCAGAGGCTTTTTTGTAGGTCTAGACATGATACATCAGCCACAAAGATTTCATACAATTCGGTCCTGGGGGCTGCTCTGTAAGGGGTGTTAGTGAGCCATTTTGCCATGCACATGTGCTAAAACTATAAAATAATTTTTTTTCACCCTTTCTGACATGTGTGCAAAGTTTGGTGAGTTTAGGCCCCTAAAATTGACATTACTTTGCAGAAAAAAAAATGTTGAAATAAAATGATTCCTTCAGTTCCAATAGAGGGTATGTGTTGATGTCACTTCCCCTTCCGGAACACGCTGGACTGAGTGGCAAAACATCTGTTTGCAATATCAGCCCTATTACGGCCTTTTACTGGGTTGCTACTTTAACAAACTCCTCCAATAGAATTGATTGGATCGACATCTTATTTTGGATGTGCAATCTAAAGGCATTGATGATGAAAAGTTGTGCTATCTGTGAGTTTTTGTTGAAGGACGTGTCCGTGGCACGGCGTATATTGATGATTCACCCTGAAACGGGAAGTTGTTATATCTTCGTACATACTCAGAACTCTACCAAACTTTACATATTCGATAAAAGTACTGACATGAACACATCTGCATGCTAATATTTATTTATTGTCATAGCGCCACATAGCGCTCTGTGACAAAATGAATTTGATTTACATGGCGTTTCCACAGTGTGGTCCCGGCTTCATCATGTACTGGTACACAACATATAATAAGCGGGTGTTGTTTAGCGCCCCCCTTGGGAACACATGAAGTGACGTTTAACTCCTTCGTGACCTGTCCATAATGCACAATAATTCAGACGGAGTAATTCGGACGACGAGGTCCGACGCTTTCATGGCTGCGCGCCATTCACTCTAATGCAAAAAGAGTCCTTTTCTAGTTTTTTTTGGCTGTATTTTTCCAGGATATGGTCAAACGCTGTTCCTGGGGCACTTGTAATAGTTACTAACTACCCAGAGAGGGTGAAAGGAGAAGTACGATTTATTCTCTTTCCAAAACCTAAAATAAATCCAGAAAAATGTCAGCTGTGGATTGTTCCTAATGTAATGTTAGAATCAGAAGTTAGCTAACGCTAGACTATCTTCCTACTGAATTTAATGTAATAACGCCCTACTGTTCTGCTTTTTAATGAGCCTATCCAGCTGTACAGGAACAGTGGTGATCCTTAATATCGTTGTCTTTTGTCTCAATCGTCAGGGGATGCGGTGGTTCACTTGTAATGTGTGATTGGTAGGCTTTAGCTTCTATCTTTCATTTTTTCATGTCCGTTTGAGTCAGTTTGAGTCAGTCTGACAGCCTGAAGACAACCTTCTAATGTAAAAAAAAATGAGATCACTTTTTCCAACAAATTTGACAATATTTCTCTGGGGAGTGCAGTAATAGTGGCAGCATCGACAGTTTGTCAGACTTTGAAACAGTAACAAAAGAGGTGGGGCTTAGCGAAGAGTCAATTTTTTGGGCCCCCCAGAGTTGTGTGAGTTCAGCCATGCTTTTCGTGCGTGAAGTATAATTCATCTGCAGCTGTTCACATTGGATGATAAAAAAAATGCTAGATAAGGGGGTTTTGTGGACATTTTACTTTTAAAGCGAGCTGTCTCAGTGCTAACATCGTTTAGGCAGCAATGGCTATAAAAATATAGTAGGACAATGAAATTATGTAATACCCCCGAAACTGGCATTTTTTATAATACAATGTCAACAACTGCAGATGAATTATATTTTACGCACGGACCCTTTTCACTTTCAATAGTGACGATTGCCGTACAGAAACACCAAATCAATAGATTCCAAAGTAGTCTGATGAAACAGTCGTAATCATAGTCATGTTACGTAACTCAGGCAACGTATGGAGGGTTTTAAGGGCCAAAACTAAATATATAAATACATAACTAATTAGGCTATATATTTAATGCTTAATAAATATATAATGATAAAATGCTTAAATATTTAATTAAATTATTATGTAACATAATGCTTAATTGTCAACAATAAATAAATCAAATTAAATACTGCATTAAATATATAAAATGTAAATTTGTTTGTGTATTTATTCATTTATAGATTGACATATTTGAATATTTATTTATTCATTTTTTTATTTATTTATTTACCTATGTACACACACCTGCGATTGGTGGTTGAACTTGAACCTACTGCTTTTACCTTTAAATGTCTTGCTCAGGGACACAATGGTGGATGTATCACAGTGGGAATTGAACCCGGGTCTCCCACACCAAAGGCAAGCATCTTATCTATATATTTTATTTATTATTATTATATTAACATATTGTGCTGTATTTTGGTTGTTTTGTCTTGTGTTATGAATCCAACTGACCCCTTACCCTTACAGTGATGCACTCTCGTCTCTCTGTACATGCACAAAGCGTGAGCTAAGATGATGGTGGGTTATAACTGCTATAACTTGCTAGTCACCATTATTAGCTTAAGCATATAGCATTTTACAATGCAAAAATCAACCTCGGGTCTAGCAGAATTCTCTCTGCTCATAGCTTACCAGATTATTTATATATACCTTTCTTAATCACTGTTGGCTTAAAGAACTGTGTCTAACAGAATACCACAGTGGAATATCAGCTTAATGTAACGTAACGAGTTGTAGATAGATATGATATTTTCCTGCAGCAAGTTACACTGTGAATAAATTATAGAAGTATATATAAAAAAAAGATTAAAGATAAATGTGTGAATAAATACATACATACATATACATAATCCACATACATTTAAGCATTTATATATTTAAAGTCTAATTTAATGTGTGATTTATTTATGGTGACAAAAATTATATATTTAAGCATTTAATTATGTATTTATATATTTAGTTTTAGTAATTTTTACTTATGTGATTAAAAGGGTTCTACTAAGTGTTTTTCCACTCTTCTGTAGTCCAAACTGCTCCACCAAATAAAAATGTGTAAAAAGATTTTTTTTCCATAGTTCCATAAAAAGCAACACAAAAAAACAGCTACAGGCTTCCACACTACTACTGGTATTAAGTCAGCTTCAAATGAGACTTAAAGGTCC